TGTCAATTTTCTTGTTGAAACCTGGCTGCTGGATGTTTTACGCTGAAAAATATGTTATACCTTGGAACCTATGAGACGGGATATAAATATTCTTTTAATTAGAAATGAATATTCTAATACTTTATTTAGAAGTTAATTCAGAATTTATTAGACTTAAGAATATTCTAATAATATCTCATATTGATCAATGGCATGCTTTTATAACCTGTAATGACAGACCACTTCAACATGGTTCTGACCTTTACCCCTTAATAGCTGTTATTTCACAATTTGCAAAGGTTGCCATAGTTCGAAAGAGCTAAAAAAGCTATTCTTCCATTATGTGTATAAAGAAAGTGTCTATGGTGATGGAAATCATCATCTCTTGATAGAAATGACATGAGAATCCATTTCATGTCAAGAACATTGGAGAAACTGTAGGTGGTTAGCCTGCTGAAGCAGAATCTTACAGTTGTCATCACCTTGGTCCATTTGTTGATTTGTGTTTTTGTTGACTATGCTTAGCATACATGGGGGTACTTTTATAACTGTTGGGAGTACCAGATATTGATCACTCCAGCAAAAGAGCCAGATGATGAACTAATGTTCACCTCATTACCCATCAGGAAAAAATAAGGGCCCCTTTCTGCCTTGCTATAGCTTTCAGGTGTAAATGGAAGAGTTAGACTGGATGTGAGTCTGTCTAGTCCAGTGAGGAACAGCAGCATTTGGTATATGTGTTTCAAGACTCCAGCACCAACTGTGCCAGGGCTTTCAGCAAGGGAAAATCAGGCAGTTCATGGAGAACATTCAGAGGGAGTTCAGTTGGGTCAGACATGCTGTAGTATCAGGTCATAGAGGAACATGCAAGGTCAAGGCCACTCTTGTTCAGTATCAAGAGTAACCTGATGTTAGAACCGTTATGATAAAATAGTTGGGTTGTGATGCTCTCTTGTACACCACCAGTTTAGACGTGAATACTCTCTCTTTCTTTTTTTAAAAGATTTAATTATTTATACAAGAACTGGGGTACAGGCCAGATGTGCAGGAGGGTGTGAGGATTTACCAGAGACAGAGCAGGGAACAGAACAGGCAGACTGATGAAATACACTGCTGAGGGATCAGCGGTTGAGACAGGAGAGGTCTGCCGCACCATGTGGGATTCTCACCAGCCTGCCGGGATCAAACCCGCGCTGCAGCGGCTGCGTCAGCTTCACAGTGAGGCACTCAACTGCCTGCGCCACCACCAGGGAGGCCCCTGAATACCCTCTTTTTAATTTTTGTTTTCATTGACATAACACTGGATCATAATAAGTTTCTGGTGGAGAGGATTATAAATCAACATCTGGATGTATTACATTCATCAATAAAAATCTAGTTTTCATCCTTCACCACACAATTGACCTCCTCTGCCCATTTTGAATAGCCTCTTTTTGACATGACTTGATATCCCAAGAGTGATAGGATATAAACCCCTTTACTTAATGAGCGGCAAGGTGTCTAACTGTAATCTGTAGCCTTCAGAGTTGGTAAAGTACAAATACAGGCAAGAATAGAATGATCAAGGTTGCTTCAGATGGAGAAAGTTGCCTCAGTAGAAGTCACAAAGAAATAGTCTGGTGCAGGGCCTCCCCGGTGGTGCAGAGGTTGAGTGCTGGGTTGCGAAGCTGCCCGTGGCCTCTGCAGTGCTGGTTCGATCCCCGGCTGCTCCCCGGCCACCAGAGGAGGGTCCCACATGGCGCGCAGACCTCTCCTGCCACCCGCTGCTCCCCTCAGCAGTGTACTTCTGTCCTTCTGCCTGCTCTGCTCCGCGCTCTGGCTCTGGTGAATTCTCTCACCCTCCTGCGCTTCTGACTGTACCCAATGCTTGTATAAATAAATAAAATAAATCTTTAAAAAAAAAAAAAGAAATAGTCTTGTGCAGTATGAGAAGTCGTTGTCTAATGATTCAGAAATTCTTGACAGTTTCCTGTTACTGGAGTTCTGCAGAGTCCAGTTAGCCAGCGTCTGACAGTGCTGTGTCACAGACATCTGTGCTACACGAAGGATGGAGTAGCTTTTTTCTTCAGCACTTCTGTTAAAATGACAGGTGCTTAAAATGTAAAAACAAGCAAGTCTTCAGCACTCATGAAGTCACTTAGTGGGAATTAGTCATTGGTAAAATTTGAGAATCCGTTCCAGTATCAGTAAAAGATTTAAGGTTGAGGGCCTCCCCAGTGGTGCAGCGGTTGAGTGCTGGGTTGCAAAGCTCTGCAGCGCCGGTTCGATTCCCGGCTGCTCCCCGGCCACCGGAGGAGGGTCCCACATAGCGTGCAGACCTCTCCTGCTGCCCGCTGCTCCCCTCAGCAGTGTGCCTTGGTCCTTCTGCCTGCTCTGCTCCCCGCTCTGGCTCTGCTGAATTCTCTCACCCTCCCGCGCTTCTGATGGTACCTAGTGCTTGTATAAATAAATAAACAAACAAATAAATCTTTAAAAAAATTAAAAAAAAAGATTTAAGGTTGATAGGCATCTCATCAGTGTGTTTGTGGGCTGTGATGAATGAGGGCTCATTTTATATTTTGCACCCTCCTTCCCCATTATTATATGAGTCAGTGCAGCTAACAATTTGTTAAAGCAGTTGAAACACTGATTCCAAACTGATTGTGTTGAAAGGGTTGCCACAAGTGCCTTTCCCCAGCTGATAGGACATAGTGTGCAGATGTGTCTAGAGAAGGGGCTGTTTTGACTGTGAGCCACTGTGACAAGTATATTCTGCATCATGACGTCGAGGACTCACTCCTGGAAGAGAGCGTGTCTGAAGTGCTCTTGTGATTTGTCTTGCTGTTCATGACCCACTAAACTGGTGTGTGAACTGGCAAGTGGGTTGTGTTACCCATTTTGATAAACATGAATCAAACAGTGCTATTTAAAGTGAGCTCTGTGACCTGCAGCATTAGCATCCGTGTGGCTCTGGAGCTTGTTAGAAATGCAAATGCTGGGGTCACACTTGAGACTTAGTCCCAGTCAGTCTCTGCAGGAGGAGACCAGACTCTGTGCTTGTATCCAGGTGTGGTTCTGTGCGTAGTGGAGTCTGAAAAACTCTGGTCTTCTTTATACTCCAAAAAGCTTATGTGATTATAGCTATTGCTAGTTGACATATTAGAAATAAACCATAGGTACTTTCAAAATACTTATTAGTTGACTTCCAGACTAACAACAATAATTCCTTTGTGTGTTGATGTCAGAGCAATGATGATATCACACATCATGTATCCCTTGGACCAGGGAACCTCTGTGGTATGCTTCCCCCCCAAAAATGAGAGAAAAGCAAGTCAATAAATCTTAGCATTATTGTGACAACAGTTTTGATCTGACAGACCCTCAAAGGCCCCTTGGGGGTCCCCAATAGTCCCTGGGCCACACCTAGAGAACTGCACTAATTTCTATAATTCTCACATAGGGTAGTTCATATGGGAGCACGCGGACTGTTTTCATCACTGCTTAAGTGTGGGGAGAAATTGGGTACTTTTCAGAGCCTGTAAGAGTGTGTCTTACTGAGGCGCCCATTATTGAATTTCCTGTCCCAGCTGAGAGACCATGTTGCTGTGTACTTGATGTACCTTCTAGGTTTGTTTCACAGAGGGATGGTTTGCTGGGGCTCCCCCCTCCCTTGAGTTTCATGAACCGCCCCCCTTTGTACAGATCACCTCCCTATCAAAAAATGTACTGCAGATCTGGAAAGTGCATATCTAATTATAGATACTTTTAGGTTTTTTTTCCCCTGTTTTGACTAATTTTTTAGTTCAGATGATTTTATTTCAAATAAGTTTCAATAACTACCTTTCAATAACTACCTAGCTGCTGATGGTTGAGCACTCAAACTTCCTGGGTTGTCCCACTTAGTACTGTATTATCTGTGGACAGTACCATGGTAAATAAATAGCACTGGAAATTGTGGTGAGATGACAGAGTTCTCGAGGGCACTTGCAGACCCTAGAACATCAAATACTGCCTTGACTCAGATTTCTTGAGGAATTAGACAAACTGATTTCTCTGTTGCACAGCATGAAGCCAGAATAGGGGGTCTCCTCAGGTTGGGAGACCCTTGACCAGTAACACTCCTTTTCTATCACTGCCCCCAGGCCAGGTGTATAGTCAACACTGTTCAACATGGGGACACATCCTGAGAGACCTGTTGTTGGTTAGCAGTGTAGTCATTGTGTGAATGTCACTGAGTGTACTCACCCAAACCCGGATGGTCTAGCTTACTACTCTCCTTGGTTCTGTGTTCATATGGTATATGGCCGTTGTCATGTCTGTGGTCTGTCAACTAAAATGTTGTGAAGCAGCATTGACTGCAAGGTAGCCAGGGCCCTGCCCCTGTCCTGGACTAACAACACTCCTTTTCTTTCTGCCTTGATTCCGCCTCTCCTGAGAAGCCACTGGGTTAAGAGTGACAATGGGAAGCAGATGAGAGAAGCCTTATGTTTTTCCTGGAGATCTCAGTGACTCTATATATTTTTTTTTTTTTAAGATTATTTATTTTTTATACAAGCACTGGGGTACAGGCCAGAGGTGCGGGAGGGTGAGAGAATTCACCAGAGATGGAGCAGGGAGCAGAACAGACAGAAGGACCGAAATACACTACTGAGGGGAGCAGTAGGCGAGACAGGAGAGGTCTGTCGTGCCATGTGGCATTCTCCCTGGCTGGCTGGGAATCGAACCGCACTGCAGAGCCTGCGGACAGCTTCACAGCACCGCACTTAACCTGCTGCGCCACCAGGGAGGCCCTGTATTTTTTATTTGTAATTGTTCTGTGCGTCTTACTCAGATTGCTCTCAAATTAGACTCTAAACTTCTAGTGAGTGGTTATTGATTTTTTTGTCTTAATGTTGTCACTCACCAGTCCCCTGAGGCCCCAGTGTCTGGTTCATAATAAAAGCTTGATAAAATACTTGTTTGAATGACTAATAATTTTTTAAACAAAAACATAGATGTTAATAATATGTATGTGATTGATTAATTGATTGAATTTTCCTTAGGACACAAGTTAACCAAGAATGAGAGAAACCAATTATTGGCAATAGCATCGTCATTGTTTGTGGCATCCCAATTAAGAGCACAGCATTTTCAAGATCAGGAAAATTCAAGGTATGGTAGATAATTTAAAACAGAATAAATGAGCAGAATGTTGATAATCTAATGTGCATCAAAGATGGTTAGATAAAGGATCTGGCATCTCGGTTCTGGATTTTCTTATGGGTGTTTGGAGAAGTGTAGTCAAGTCACACTGTTTAAAAATGATATTGCTTCTATTTTTGTTCAAATGAGCAAATTCAGAAAGAAAAAAGGGATCTTGGCCCCTTTAATTTGAACATCACTTGAGGTAAGATACTCTGAAATCTTAATGGAAAATCTATTCAAGCAATTACTCTTATTTCTGTTTATTTACTTTGTTGATCTTGGAAAAAGCTTTGAAATTCTTACAATTTAAAATTTAAGAATAAATCTGAACAGTTAAAAAAATATATAAGAAACTTGTTTACAAAAACCAAGAAAGGAATCAGTACCTGGAAGAGTTCTAAGTTTGCCTTTTAGCTTCCTGGTGATGTAAGTGGAAGGGGGAACATGCTTTCTACCCAGGTAAAGACAAAGCGCTGTGACAGTAATGATTGTAAGTGATAAAACTACTTGTTGTGCATGTCTGTGACCTTCCTGGAGCCGTCAGACCTTCGTAAGTTCATTCCTTTGAGCACAGTGTAGCTGATAACGTTGCGTTACTTCAGTTTCTTCCCCTTCACTTTTTCCCCAAGAGGAAGAACAAAAATAAAAAAGCACAAAGATGGCAGGTGACCAGGCAGCTCTGCACAGCACCGCACAGCTCAGAAACTTGCATCACCCTGAAAATGGAGACCAGGTTGAGACTGTGCATTAATGGCTAATGTGGTTCTACTCAGAAAATCTTGGGGTAACTGGTACGCTTCGCTCATTCTGTTTCACAAGAGGAAGTATAGGAAGCGTTTGCATCATCTTTTTAAAATGGTGATTGATAGCTCTTTAGGGGGAGGAGGGGGAGAGGGTAGAGCATGTTGGTGGGTTACTGGATGCCTAGAAGGAGGTGACAGTGGCCAACAGAGCCATGAAGGTGGTCATTTCTCCCCGAGGCTGTGCTGTCCTGTGTGGTAGCCACTAGCAAGTGTGCCTCTGGGAACTCTTAATTAAAAACTCAGCTTCTCAGCCACAACCCAGTGTCATTGTGGTCACTGGTCACATCTCAGGAGCTCCGGGGCCACTGCTGCATTGTGGTTAGTGCTACTGTGCTGGGCAAGAAAGGGTGGGAAGGAACCTTTCTCTTCTCACAGTTCTGGGGAACAGTGCTGTTCTGGAGGGAGGTGTGTGTAGGAGAGATCTTAGCTTTTCCTTTAAAACCAGAACCAGGGCCTCCCCTGGTGGCGCAGGTGGTTGAGTGCCGTGCTGTGAAGCTGTCCGCAGCCGCTGCAGCGCCAGTTCGATCCCTGCCGGCCGGGATCCCACATGGTGCGGCAGACCTCTCCTGCCTCGCCCACTGCTCCCCTCAGCAGTGTGTTTCATCAGTCTGCCTGTTTTGTTCCCCACTCTGTCTCTGGTGAATCCTCTCACCCTCCCGCGCATCTGACCTGTACCCCGTTCTTGTATAAAATCAATAAATAAATCTTAAAAAAAAAAAACCAGAACCATAACTTGTATTAGTGTTTTATTCTATTGGTCAGTACAATTTCGTATTGTGATTCCTTTCCATTCAGATGTTATTTGGACCTTGATTATATCTGAAGTCCTCAGTGCAGCTAATCATGACCTGATTTGATCTTTAAGAAATGTATACATTTGCAGAGAGAGCACTGACTTACCATGGATAAGACTCTGGAGGCTTACAAAGGAAAAGAATAAAATTTACCTATATTTTCACAAACTCTGTAATAATTCCTTATCACATTTTTATACATTCCCTTCTAAGTATGTATGTGTGTGTGTATGTATATGTATGCATAAATCCGAGTGGCATATGTATCTTGCATAATTAGTTAAGCTGAGAATATAGCTTGAATTCTGTTTTTTTTTATTTTATTTTATTTTATTTTTTTTTTTATAGAGGCATGTTTATTTATTTATTTATTTGTTTGTTTGTTTGTTCTGTTTACACATGCACTGGGTACAGTCAGAAGCGCGGGAGGGTGAGAGAATTCACCAGAGCCAGAACAGGGAGCAGAGCAGGCAGAAGAACCGAAGTACACTGCTGAGGGGAGCAGCGGGCGGCAGGAGAGGTCTGCGCGCCATGTGGGACCCTCCTCCGGTGGCCGGGGAGCAGCCGGGGATCGAACCAGCACTGCAGAGGCTGAGGGCAGCTTCGCAACCCAGCGCTCAACCGCTGCGCCACCGGGGAGGCCAGAATTCTGTTTTTTTTTAACCTTAATATTTCATGGTGAATATTTCTTTACTAGTCTTTGGAAGAATATTTTTTCTTTACTACAGAAAACTTAAGACATGTGCAAAATAGACTTGCTCTTCAAAACATATGCAAGAAAAAGGTAAGCTAATATAGTAAATGGCAGAAGGCATTCAGAAACATATCCAAAAAAGGACTTGTATTTATAGTATGTAAATAATTCTTACAACTCAAAAATAAGCCAATTTCAAAAAAATAGAATATTTGGCATAGATTTTGTGTCAAAGTTATACAAATGGAAAATAAGTTCGTGAAAAGATGTTCAACATCACTGATCATTAAAGAAATACAAATTAAAACCACAGGCCACAGCAGTACACACCTACTAAAATAATGCACTTCAGATGAGCAGATACAGAAACACTGTCTATCCATACAGTGGAATTCTATACCAGAAAAGCTTGAAGTATTGATACCTCATGCATAAATCTAAAAAAGAAAACATGCTAAAAGAAATAAACCTATGATTTAATTTACTTGAAATTTCTAGGGAAGGTAGAAGTGTAAAGACAGAAGAAAGTGAATGGGTGCAGATGTTAATGTCATAGATGTAATATCTTTGTAATTCTGTGCCGAAACCCATAAATTAATAACTACTTTAAATGCATTAGTATCTTAAATTATGTGAAAAACAAAATGATTTTCAAACCAAAGTAATAATTGTACTGACATTAGTCTACTAATTACTTTTTAAAATGCGTTAGCCCCTTAAATTGTAGAGAGAACAAGAAGTGGGGTTTCAGACTGTTCTTACAATTGTCATAGCTTTTATAACGATCTATGTGTTTACCTTCACTGAGATAGTCATTTTTTCATGTGGCTTCTAGGTACAGTTCAGGGTCCTCTTGTTCCAACCAACCCTGAGCATTTCTTACAGGGCATGTCCAGCAGCCACAAACTCCCTCAGTTTTTACTAAGAATCTCTTAATTTCCCCCTTGCTTTTGAAGACAGTTTTGCTGGATTTAGAGTTCTTGGTTTTCAGTTATTATTTACTTTTTGTTTTAGCACTCTGAATATGTCAGCCGACTGCCTTTGGCCTTCAAAGTTTGGGATGAACAACCTGCTCATAATCTTTTTGGTGGTGATGGGATGATTTACTTCTCTCGCTGCTTGGGAGATTCTCTCTCTGTCTTTGTCTTTTGATGATAATAGGTTGGTGTGGGTCTCTGCCTTTATCTTACGTGGAGTTTTAGTTTCTTAGATGTTTTGATTCATGTCTGTCATCAAATCGGGGAAGTTTTCAGCCATTATTTTGTCATATACTCCCATAGTTCCCTTATGCTCTGTTCTCTTTTCTTCAATCTTTTTTTTCTTTCTGTTCTTCACTCTTGTTCATTTCTTTGGTGCCATCATCCTCAAGTTAGCTGATTCTGTCTTCTGCCTGCTGAAACCTGCCTTTGAATTCCTCTAGTGAGCTTTCCATTTCCGTTTTATTGTTTTCCAGTTCCAGAATTTCTCTTTTATGCCTTTTTAGGTTTTGTACCTCTTGATTGATGTTTTCATTTTGTTTGGACATCATTTTATTTACCTTCTCCACATCTTTCTATACTTTGAGTTGTTTCTATTCTTTTGTCCAATGTGTTTGCTTTTTCAGAGACGTATTCTTTTCTACCCTTTGAGTAAGCCATGCTTTCCTATTTCTTTGTATAGTTTGTGGGGTTTTTTTGGTTGAACACTGGGCATTCAAGTCTAATAATGTGGTAACTCTGGAATTAAGTCTCCTTCCCCAGTGTTTACTGTTTTCGTTTATTGTTTTGGTTTATTTGGACTCTCGTGGTGTCTCTCTCTTTGCCAAGGATCAGCCTGTGATAAAATTAAGGTCTTTTTCAGTCTTCACTCAGTGTCTCCCTGGGCATATGTGGTCACTTTCCTTGTATGTGCATTTGTTTTTTAATGTCTTAGTCTTTAATGCCTGACTCTTGAAGGAGGAAAAAACAAAAAATGAAGGGGGTAAAAAGGGAGCCCTGGCTGGTAAAATTCCCTAGAAGCCACTTCAGCCACAGGAAGGGGCTTGCAACAATAGAGGGAGCCACAATAATAATGGATGCGTACCCCATACACAACCTTATCAGCTGTCAGAGAAAGGATCTCCAATATTTGGTGGATAGGATCCTTGGCCCACCCTCTCTTCTGAAATCTGTGTGCACAGCTGCTTATGACTAGGTTGGGGGATGGATAGCTGTTAATGTGCTGAGATCTGAAATTGACTGCAGTTTACCATCTGAGTGTTCCCTAGAAAGTTGCAAGCCTTCAGCCGCCTCCAGAGTTCCAAAATAGTTAACTCAGCCAGATTCTGAGGTGTGAGGAGACAGATTCCTGGGCCTCTTTGTTTCACCCTCCTCCCCAAATCCTTTTCTTCTTATAATGCTTTAGACTCATTTACCCTTTGGAGGTTGGGGAAAAATTGTATCAGTGACATAAGTGGTACAGCAACTCCATGATGTAGATAATTGTGTACATATTGCCATGAGACAAAGATTAGTTCCTGTTGATTTTATTTTCTGTTGAAGTTGTTACTTTTAGTTGTCCAGTTTACTGTAAAGTAACCCATAACAGCAGAGACCTATAACATCTAGCAAAATAGATTAGTCTTTTTGACAAAGCATCATCTTGTTTAGCCAAAGAGCATCTGAAAAAGTCCCTGACATCAAAGCTGATGTCAGATGA